CAAGGTCGAAGGCAGTTTTTCTGCAGAAATATTGAATCCTTAACCCCCCCCCCAAGAATGCATCCGCAAAACGACATAATAAGTATGTGTGTTTTACATGGGGGACGCTAATAAGGCAAAAACCGTGGCACTTCCTAAATCTGGATACACAGGCCTTTGGTACCTCAACGAAAAGCCAATGCCTCCCTTGTCGGCTTGGGTGCGCCGAGTGTGAGGCCGCCTGGAGGTGTTGGCTTGCTTAACGGGAAGAACCATGAATTCATTTAGCTCATATGTATGTATATATACATGTTATGCTTGTATATATATATATATATATTATAACATAACATATACATACAATATTTAATATATATATATATGTATAATATGTGTGAAGACACATGACATGTAATTAGTGGTAAACAAAAAGTTTAGGCTTTCGCCCCGAGCCGGTGAGGATTTGAGTTCCAGCAAGGGGCTAAATAGTGACTTTTTCATGGATCTTCCATCTTTATGGAGCCTCACGTTACCTGTCTGGTATGTCTTCACTGCTGTTGGCTTTTGTTTTAGGTGTTTATGTTTTTGAGACCCGTTCATGGAGAGTGGGGGGGGGTGCAAACAACAAAGTGTGTTCTGCCACCACGCCAAGGGTTGTAAAGATGGGTAACCAAGGGAACCACCTTTGACAAAGAGCTGAGAATGGAGAAGAGGTATACCGGCTTGGCCAGGATCAACAGGGAAGGACAATGCGATATGACACTTGTGCAATCTGTACATCTGATTTTTTGCGCGAGATGGCGGCTCGATGCTTCCTTCTCAACTCACGTTGCCAGTCTTTGTGAGCATTTGTGCTTGCAGGGGGTTTCCTTTTGTTTTCGGTTGTTTTCCTCAAATAATAGATCAAATAGAACCCTCCAGTGGGTGGGTTCCTGTTGGTGTCAAGCCTTAATGCAGTGGTTTCCTTTGGGTTCTTTCAGTTGTAAGCCACAGAAGGGCATCGATCGAACATGACCGAGCCTCGCAAGTCATCGGCCGTTTGCATCATCGCCAGCGTCCGAAGCTCCCACAGCTGCAAAAATCTGCACAGGTGTGCACTTCGGGACCCAAGTCGGAAGCAAACAAAAATGCCAAACACGAAACACAGCGCGATGCGTCATTTTAACTGAATGGTGTTTGTTACGAGGGTACAAGTGTTCTCCGCCAAAAAGTCTGAATTCCCTCCAAATTGGGCCCCCATCCGGGTCAAGCAGGGTTCTGCTTGGCCAAATAACAACCAACTGTCACACACCCAATGCCTTCTTCAGGCCGTCCACTCGGTTCGAACCGGAAGGAACGGAACAACAAAACCTCAGGGCGCATCTTAAGACCTGGGTTCTTTTTTTCTGGGTTCTAGGACATCTACTGATGGACAACATCCAATTCGCACCAGGAATGGATGAAGCCCGAGTTGAATACTGCTGGATAAACCAATAAAAACCACCTACCTAGTAGTTGGTGGGTTTTGCGGATTTGGTCCATCCGCTCAGGCAAACTTTTGGTTGAGCCGAGGGTAGCGGGAGCCTTCTCAGCTGCCCAAACGAGGGCGCCTCAGTTTGGGGAACGGGATCAACCTCGCAAGCAGGGGTATAACCTATACTAGGTCCCCAGCAGTGCCCTTTACCCTTTTTTTGGGGGAGGGATCCCCTACTAAACTAGACTACAGACAAAAAGTGCCCTTATTCTGACCTCTCCACTGGAGGACCTAGTATAACTGGGGACATTATTTTGACTAGGGGTTGTCAACGTTGGCAACTGACTGGTGGTGTTTCCTTCATGCCACTTGGGTGACTTTGACAGAGTTCAAAACCATTTGGCCAGTCTAGCAAGCAAAGTGCAACGCAGCATGGCACCATGCGGCTGTGCCGCTTGCTGCGGGCCGCAAGCGGTACAAGTGCAAGCGCCGCGAGGCGAGTGGGACACTTTGCAATGAACTTGAGTGGTATGGCGAAAATCTCCGCAGCTCGTGTCCTGACCGTTCAGTTTCCCCTCGGGGCCCGAAGAGATTCATCTTGTATTTCCGGGTCCTTTGGGCCAATGAGGTACTGCTACCCTATTGTCAAGTGGCACCCTTTGTCCCTTGCTTGGTGGGTTTCCCAATAGAAATGGTCAACCCCAACAAAGGCGTCCTTTTTCTACCAGGGTCACGGAGCAACAGACGGGCTATATACTCTTTCGGAACACCATTTACGCAAAAATCCAGACGATTTCAGGAAGTGGGTCCGTTCGGGATGGGCATAGGGGGACGAGATCTAAATGTCTACCCTGTGCCTTGAGCAAAATGGCGGAGATGGGAAGAGGTCCAATTGCAGGAATTCAATTTTCTGCTGTAGGTAACCTGGGAAATAAATCGTCAGAAGCAAACCAGACACGAAAGGAAGGGTTGCGCGAACGGTTTTGGGGGTTGTCTAGTTTCCTTGATGTCCTCGATTTTACAAACCCCAACAAGCGCAAAATGAGTGGTTTCCTTTTGGTTTCCCTTTTAAGCAAGCCCGAAAAGGATGCCCTCAAAACAGCTCGCCCGGGAACTCAATCTAGCACAAGCTCCCCCCTTTGAGCCACATCCTTTGGATCTGGTGACGCAACGTCTCTTGTTTGAATTATACTTGGAAGTTCGGCCAAGTTAGTAGGCTGACCGGTAGGGGGTTGTTCACAGCAGGTTATTTTCTCTGTAATGCTGGTTTCGAGAAAGTTACGTGGAATCTATTTGGAGCACGTGGCTGTATGGCTGGCAATTCGAGCGTGATAATGTTTTTTTGGAATTGTTGGACTTCAGGTGAATATTTTGCTTATGTGTTGCAGAGATCCAGTTTCCCTATGGGTGAGGTGCTGTCTTTGCACCGATGCATGCTGACAAGCAAACTATGGAGACTCCTCCCTGGATCGTTCTGATTCAAGCACGGCCCAAATATATCACTTCCTGAAGTCCTGGACTTTCCACTGCTTGGGTCACCATGGTCATTGTTCCGTTGAAGAAAGCCGCCCAACGCTATTTTAGTTGCGATGTTCGGATGCTTTTTTGTGGCCAAGCCAATCCATGGTCCCATTTACCAAGAAAACCCATCGACGTGTCCAGATTGGGTCAATGTGATTTTTCCCCGTGGGTGCTAATGTTGACCCCACATGAATCAGCCCTAGCTGATGAATAGCTCCAAAAGTGGGCTGATTCCCAACTCACACAAAAAAACTGTTAAGAAACAGCGGTGGAATAATATGGGGTCAACATTAGTATGGTTCATATATGGCTGTGGCTCAAAAAAACGGGACCAGAATGGAACCCTGCTAAGTGGAAACATGGGCCAAAACCTGCGTAAACCCCTCCTTTTTGAATTTGAGCCACACCCATCTCCGTGGCACATAGAGAGCTGCCAGGAGCAGCCCGGCGGCGGCCTGGCAGCTGGTCGAGGAGCGCGTGCTTGGGGTGGGGGGGATCCGCTGTCTGAATTTTCGGTCCCCCAGCTAGCTGCCCTTTTACCGTTTCTTTTTTTGGTTGGGAGGGTTCCCCTACTAAAATAGACAAAAAAAAAGGTGCCCTTATTCTACTGGAGGACCTAGTTTTGTTGTGTAGGTTTTGTTGTTCGCCGGGAACATGGCGAACGTTCTTGACTCAACTACTGCATGTGCGCGATTTGTTGCAAGGGGGTCCAATAGGTCCTCTAACCTTTTGCTTTTGGGCACATGGCAAGAGTTCTTCACCCTCAAGCAACACGATTTGTGGGAGGGCATGGAATATGTTCTTTTATCGTCCAGTGTTTAGAACGCTTGTGACGGTGTTTGTTTAGCATCAACTTCAGCCAAGCCAATCTCTTTGATTTTGTTTCGCACGTGGGTGCGTGTCTTTTAAAGGTATCCTTTTCAGTTTGGTTCGAAGGGAACCCGAAACAAAGTCCACCTAAGCTGAGGGGGTCCAATTCCCGATTTGCACACACCCAGGGGCCTGTGTGGTTTTCCTTTTGGAAAGACGCACCCATGGTGTTTTCCACTTCCTTGCTTGCCATGCCTTCTCAAGACAGTCAGTGCCGATTTCAAGCAAGAGGTGGACATGTTGCTCAGTTGCCCAATGCGAGTTGACCGGATCTGACCTTTTGGTGTAGTGTCCTGGCAACCGCATGTACTCAAGGTAACAAGACCAATCTGTTGTTTCCAGCTCCTGTGAGCAATCGAGTTTGTAATGGGTCAGTTGGGTAGACCCACAAGACACACAGCTGGAGGTCGAGTGAGAGTTGATGGAACCATGGATCTTGATCTTTGGGAGTAAATAAAGCTTACCTCTTACCTCTTGGGTTGACGACCACTCGCAAATGGGCCCCGCAAAAGCCCTTCGGCTTTCATGAGCCCCATCAATGGGTCTAAAACCTGACGCTTAGGTCTGGTTCAACATCTCCCACGAGATCCTTGCACCAAATCCGGTGGCTTCACCTCCATCCCAGAAAAAATCAGCACCGATCGACGTGTAGCGGACGTGTCCTCCCACACCTTGCGGCCGGCCCCCAGCTTCCGGCTGGGAACTGGGACTTGGACTCCTCAAGTGGCAATGCTTCAGCCCAGAAAATGACAGGCACCCAACCTCCAAAAGTCGCTTAGGCTAGAAAGAACATGAGGCAGAATCCAGAAAATCGCAAATCCGGAGCCTCAAAATTCCCTTTTCAATAAATCATAGCCGAAAACGTGGTTGGTGAGTTCCAGTTTATGCGCAGTTCTTCCGGGTCCAGGTATTTGTTTGAAGGGAGCCACCCCCCAGCGCCAAGACCTTGCAGGACTTGCGGCTGGCCGTGGCCATTGACCGAGAGTCAGGCGAGCTTTTTTTTATTTTTGCCTTTTTTCTGCGCGCGGGAAGGGCGCGCCGGAGAATAAAGTGGGATGTGTTTGGGTCTCGATCCTGACTTGTGCTTCTTTTTTCAAAGTTACTCCCTAGAAGTGTTTGGGTCTCGATGCGGATGTGTTCTTTTTCAATGTTCCTGACTCCTTATGGACTTGAAGCTATGGGTTTGGCTCAACCATCTTAGGGGTCTTGTTTGATATGTTTCGCTGTTTCGCGTTTTTTTTTTGTTTAACCAATCCGCTGAGGCAAAAGGAAGAGGGGGTTTTGTATGGGCTGGTTGCCGTTGGTGTCTTTTCTCTTGCCAAGCCAAAGTGGGTCGATTCACCGTTTTGAGAAGAGGCCCATTCATCCGGTGAGCCACGGGCCGCGGGTGTCTCCAGCCACATGTGGGTCGTCCGGAGCTGTTGCCAGTTTTCAGAGATTTACCTAAGACATACGTGTTATTTTCCTCTTTCGGTTTTAAAGGGAGTCGAGTTCACTACTGGAAGAAATATATATATATATACACACATATTCTGGACTTAAGCACTTTCTTATGTAGTCATTTTAGTAGGGGAACCCTCCCAAAAAAGAAACTGTAAAAGGGCATTAGTGGGGGACTAAGAATAGGAAGAATTGGTCACCAGAGACTTGCCACCCCTTCAAAAACCAAATGGAAAATGGATCAAAGGCTTGCCTCCTGCGAAGCAAATTCATGGGATCCACAAGGCCCAGGCCCAATGCTTCCATCAGCTCAGAGGCCCTCAGTCCCAAAGAGATTCTTACCAACGACGAAGCTTCACCAAAACGTTGACACCCTTTTTTTGGAAGTGGGTCATCTCCCGGGTCCTGACCCCCTGTGCCCAATCCCGCACATTTGGAATGCGACCAATTCCGACTTGTGCGGAGGGTTTGAGAGACAAAGTACATGGGGTCACTGGGCTTACACGAACTTCTTTCTGAGAATCCTTTGCAGGCGAGGCACAGGAGGGTCCGACCCCAAGAAGCATCGAGGCACGCGCGCTCAAATGGCTTCTTGAAGACAGAGTGGGGCCTTGGGCTGGGTTGCCTTGGGACTTTAGTCGCTAAAGACCTAGTGGCAAACAACAGCTCGGTTGCCCGGACCCGAAAAAGACCCACCGGGAGTCTCCTTCTGACAATTTCAAAAATGGTTGTTCACCATTGAGCCATTTTTTATTCGGGTCAGAAGGAGACTCCAGGCATCTTCTGTGGTGTTCCTTTCGGTTGCAGCTGTCTTGGTCTCATCTTTCGCCGGTGTCAGGGCATGGCACGGAGCGCCGGGCCAAAACCGTGTCCGAGGCGGGGTGATGGGAGGCTTCGGTAAGGCTTGATTTACCAGGTCCCCCAGTAGTGCCCCTTTTACCCTTTTTTGGGGGAGGGTTGCCCTACTAAGATAGACTACAGAAAAAAGATCGGGTTCCCTTATTCTAACCTCTCTACTGGAGGACCTAGTTTCACCCGGTTCGGAGCCAGCCGGAAACGGTTCCCTTGTGGTTGACTTTTGTAGGTTGGTTGAAAGGGAAACCCACAGTTAAAAACCTTGGCATGTTTGGGTTTCTCACATGAGACACGCCCAGCTCAGGGGAAAGCCCCGATTTCGGTGATTGCCCTGACAGCAAGGCCCCGAATCCTATTTGGGCGTGTCATTTTTCTCTTCTTCTTTTTCGGGGGGGGGGGGGGGCCTCCAACATGGCGGGCTTCCTTTGGCTTCTCTTCAAAAGCCACAAGCAACCAGAAGAGACCCTCAGAAAAAGCCGGACCCATTTTGAGAACTGTCCTGTTTTTAGTGGATCCCAAGCAAGCCACTACCGTAGGCAATTAGCTCTTTTCATTTTTGTTTTGAAGGGGTGTGTTTTTTGGTGGCCGACTATTTGGGTACGTGGAATCACTGGGTTTGAGAAACCCCTCTGATAAAACATCTCCTGTTAGCTGCCCTAAGGGGACCGAAGACTGGTTGCTTCATGCTTGTTGTTGAGAAGCATTTTACATAAGGTTTGAACTCAGAGAAACATTTTGGCCCATTTTGAAGAGAAGGATCCCTGAAGAGAATTGGGAAGGTACAGTTACCCAGTGCTTCCGCTTACCACTATAGGTATCCACGAGTAACCGTCCATGGTGAAACCAGACAGGTTGCTACTCACTTGTCGAAAGCGAATCGACCTTTTGACCTTTTGGTTTCCCTGTTTTGGTTCATGTTAGTCGTGGCTGCAAAAGGAGACCGTTGATTTGTTGTCCTTTGGTCTAGCCTTGATTTCGGGGTCCCAAACCTGGCAATTGAGTTAGAGGAATCTTCTCTTCAACTCCGCAAGGTTGGTTGATTCCTTATCTAGGTCACCCAGTAGTGCCCTTTTACCTTTTCTTGGAAGAGTGTTCCCCCAATAAAACGATTACATCAAAAAGTTGGTACCCTTATTCTCACCTCTCTGGGGAGATACCCTCAGAAAAAACCGGACCCATTTTGAGAACTGTCCTTTTTTTAGTGGATCCCAAGCAAGCCACTACCGTAGGCAATTAGCTATTTTCATTTTTGTTTTGAAGGGGTGTGTTTTTTGGTGGCCGACCATTTGGGTACGTGGGATCACTGGGTTTGAGAAACCCCTCTGATAAAACATCTCCTGTTAGCTGCCCTAAGGGGACCGAAGACTGGTTGCTTCATGCTTGTTGTTGAGAAGCATTTTACATGTTGCTTATTGTGGTTCAGTGGTTGAAATCCAACCACTCAACTGCTAAAATTCAAACTGTTGCTCCCCTTCCAACGTCAAGGTTTGAACTCAAAGAAACATTTTGGCCCATTTTGAAGAGAAGGATCCCTGAAGAGAATTGGGAAGGTACAGTTACCCAGTGCTTCCGCTTACCACTATAGGTATCCACGAGTAACCGTCCATGGTGAAACCAGACAGGTTGCTACTCACTTGTCCAAAGCGAATCGACCTTTTGACCTTTTGGTTTCCCTGTTTTGGTTCATGTTAGTCGTGGCTGCAAAAGGAGACCGTTGATTTGTTGTCCTTTGGGCTAGCCTTGATTTCGGGGTCCCAAACCTGGCAATTGAGTTAGAGGAATCTTCTCTTCAACTCCGCAAGGTTGGTTGATTCCTTATCTAGGTCCCCCAGTAGTGCCCTTTTACCTTTTCTTGGAAGAGTGTTCCCCCAATAAAACGATTACATCAAAAAGTTGGTACCCTTATTCTCACCTCTCTGGGGAGATACCCTCAGAAAAAGCCGGACCCATTTTGAGAACTGTCCTGTTTTTAGCGGATCCCAAGCAAGCCACTACCGTAGGCAATTAGTTATTTTCATTTTTGTTTTGAAGGGGTGTGTTTTTTGGTGGCCGACTATTTGGGTACGTGGAATCACTGGGTTTGAGAAACCCCTCTGATAAAACATCTCCTGTTAGCTGCCCTAAGGGGACCGAAGACTGGTTGCTTCATGCTTGTTGTTGAGAAGCATTTTACATGTTGCTTATTGTGGTTCAGTGGTTGAAATCCAACCACTCAACTGCTAAAATTCAAACTGTTGCTCCCCTTCCAACGTCAAGGTTTGAACTCTGAGAAGCATTTTGGCCCATTCTGAAGAGAAGGATCCCTGAAGAGAATTGGGAAGGTACAGTTACCCAGTGCTTCCGCTTACCACTATAGGTATCCACGAGTAACCGTCCATGGTGAAACCAGACAGGTTGCTACTCACTTGTCCAAAGCGAATCGACCTTTTGACCCTTTGGTTTCCCTGTTTTGGTTCATGTTAGTCGTGGCTGCAAAAGGAGACCGTTGATTTGTTGTCCTTTGGGCTAGCCTTGATTTCGGGGTCCCAAACATGGCAATTGAGTTAGAGGAATCTTCTCTTCAACTCCGCAGGGTTGGTTGATTCCTTATCTAGGTCCCCCAGTAGTGCCCTTTTGCCTTTTCTTGGAAGAGTGTTCCCCCAATAAAACGATTACATCAAAAAGTTGGTACCCCTATTCTAACCTCTCTACTGGACCTAGTTATGTTTTGGTGCCTGGTCAAACTGGTAGTGAGACGTTTCGTGGCTTGCCTACAGCCTAGGCGCAGCTTCAGAACTTTTCCGCCCGCGCGCGGGCGGCGTTGGGCGCGGACTTCGAGGCCAACGTGGCGACGCTTCGGAGGAGTTGGCAGGATTTATTTGGTGCATTTTGCTTGGCTGTTAGGACTTTAACTTTTTGCCAACTAATGGGTTTTCCACTAAACCACTAAAAGTTAAACTTTTAGCAGGGGAGCAGAAAGCAACCGAGATTTGGATGTCAGTCCCTGCTGGGATGTTCAACCTCCTTCACAGAAATTAAATATAGCCAAGGTTGTAATTTGGACCACTGGGGTTAGTCGGCTTAAAAAGACATGGTTATGGTCTTCTAAGTAGATTGAACATCCAAGTGAGGTCCTAATTTGTTTACATTGTGTGGCTCTAAGAGCCACCGCACTTTTGCACTTACCAGGGCAACTCATTTTGGGCCCATTCCTTCTCTTGAGTGCCACCCATTTTTGGGCAAGACCTTTCGAAAGGTAAACAACAAGTTGACATGTGTTTGTTCGCATCACGCGGGATGTGAGTCGATTCTTTGTGCGGATGAGGCTGGTTGGAATGGAATCATTCCCGGTATACCGGTGCCTGAACCCTCAAAATGCCAAAACTATGAGGTGAATTCCCTGTTTCATGGGTCCAAGTGGTTTTCTTTTCAGCGGATCCCAAACAATTCATTCCAAAAACCGGAGGGCCGGGTTGGATGTGAGGAAACCTGGGGAAAACTGATTTTGGATATTTTTAGGCACTAAGATACAAGTACAGAGGCTCTCCCTGGACTGAGAGCGGAGGGTTTGTACTTCCACAGCGCGAAAAGGATTCCTGTTGGCCATTTCGGGTTTTGGTTTCCGTGGGGCCAGGGCTGTATAAACTACCTTAAATCCATGTTGGTTCTTCCAAAAGCCAAAGGGTGAACGGACGCTGCTTTGGCAACGAATTTCAAGAAGGGCCTTCAAAAGGAGGTGGTGAATATGAATAATCGCCGCAACCAAAAATGCTGTCCAGTTTGGGTCAGTTCCTTTAGGCTTCCCTTTTAAGCAGCCCCGAGGATAGCACGCTCTTTTTTCAAAGCGTATCTTTGGAAAACTGTTTGAGTAAAGGGTTGACATCATCCCCAGAAAAAAAGGCGCCTGGACCCTCAACATTCCAATGAGCAGCTCTAAAAACCCCCCGTTACATCCCAAGCAAGAGTTGTGTCATAACAAGGCCCCGCGTAAGCAAAACCCTGCACGGCGTAAGCCGGCGTAAGCACTTTTCTGGGAAACATGCCGCGTAAGCACCTGCGTAAGCTCTTCTTCATGATTGCTTCGTGAGCTTTGTAAGCATGCTCGGAAGAGTGGTTTCACACATGTGCTTATGGGTTTATTGGTGGCTTGTGCTGTTTCAACCAAGTCGAGCTTGGCAACTTGCCCGGAGACTTTGGCTGCAGGAAGACGACTAAGACCGCATGTGCGCGCCATTAGAAAACAAAACCAGCATAAATTTGATTGGGAGCTCTGGGGGCTCATGCTAAGTGCTGTTGAGACCTTTACGAGCACAACAAAGGGCTTCTGAAACCGCGATTTAGGAAAACTAAAGGTGCTCGGCTGCGTAAGCTCGCGTAAGCAGGCGCGTAAGGTTCGCGTAAGCTCGCCTACTCGGCTGCCCACTAGCCCTCGCCATGGATGCCGCTGTCGCACAACCCGTTCTTGACTTGCAGTAAGAACAGCAAGGCCAAGCCGCTGAAACTCGCAAGGGTAATTCTTCTTCATCTTCTTCCTCGGAGTCATCCACATCATCTTGAACAGTTCCGGCGGCTGCATGAGAAAAGAGCCCGCGTAAGCAATTCTTGAGGGGAAAGGCTCAAAACGCAAACGCGTAAGCGATGCGTAAGCTTAACGTGCTCGCTGACAGCAGCGTAAGCTAAAACATGGGTCGCGTAAGGAACGCGCAAGCTCGCGCGTAAGCAACTTGATACGACATAGGGATTCATGGGAGGTTTGTAGAGTCGCTCCAATGGGAAATATCGCAATCCACCATTATTTTAATCTCCCTGGATCCTCAAACTACTCATAAAACCCAATCATTTCAGGGGTAAAACCAAATCTTTAAGCTGGCATTCGGGTTCAGGGCTCCCATTTTGTTCCGTCCAGGTGGTTTCTCTTCCGGCTTTGAGGTGGGTCTTTGGTCTATCGGCTCCCTCGAGCGGTGTGCGCCGAGGATCTTCTTTTGGCTCGCGAAGGCGGCCTATGGGGGCAACGTGGACGAAGACCTCCTGCTGCGGCCACACGACTCGACTCGGGGAAAGCTGGGCGAACTTCGGCTCGGGGTCACCGGGATGTTTGGAAAACCAAGCTGTTGAAAAAAACAAAAAAGAGGGCTATGGGGGTGTCCATTTCGGGTTTTAGTGGGGATGGTCCAACTTAGTGGGTGCCCCCGGATGAACAAGCCCGGTGTCCCGGTGAGGAAACTTTCAACCCGGGACCGGGAGAGGCATCACAAAGATTAATCATCAAAGTCGACCCCTTGCTTTAGTCAACCCCTGTTTATAAATATGGGGTCCCCGGTCCCGGTGTCCATTTCTATTTTTTTGTGGTTGGATTCCGACCACTTTTGCAGGGGAACACCAGGACCCATATTGATAAACAGGGGTTGATTCATCCGGGGTCAACATGACGGACGGCACCAATGGCCCGGGCCGGGGCCGCTCAACCATTGCTTTTTGGGCACTCTTGGTCGTGGTCCTTTGTTGCTTGTTTTTTTTGGGGGGGAGCCGTACCCTTTTTCCCCAAGAGCTGTAGGGTCTATGGGGTGTCCCTGCCCAAGTGAGCTTTTGGGGACTTCGGAGCAGCTTTCAGGGAGGGTTTCGGAAGGATTGGTTCTTCAAATCAGATAGATTGGTGGTTTGGGGGATTTGGGTCAGGGTCAATATAAAAACACCAGGGGACCGCAGATGTTTGTTCATGTTTTCATTTACCAGGGTTCCATTCTGGGTACCTATTTTTGACCCACAGCCATTTGACCCCCATATCATGGAAAACCACAAATCCAAAAACCAAGCCACCAATCAGCGGGAAACTGACAAATCAGCTTGGCCTAAACGGGGGGCCAAGGGGAAGAGGAGTTGTTGGGGCCGATTTTAACAGTTATCCAGTGCTTCCAGTTGATTGCTGGAAACTAAGGGCAAATCATTGAACATGTGGGAAGAAACTTGGTTGTATGCTGTAATCGGAACCCCGGGCCTAAGTAGAACCTCTGGTTGCTCTTGACTTGGGGCATTCAGACCGCTTTTGGAGGGGCCCCACCCCCACGCCTTCTATTAATAGAACCGGATTGCAGTTTTGGGATTTCCTCCAAATGGGTGCGTTTTTAGGGGACCCCACAAAATGGTGGTTTCCCTTTTCGTGTTCCTCTAAAAACGACAGAAACTGGTACCCTTAAGACAAAAATACACAACTGTTCCTTTCAGCTAGCAACTCGTAGTCTGGGTGTGGTTTGTTTTTGAGAGAGAATCCATTTTGCTGGATTGTATGTTGTCTCGTGGTGCATTGCTTCAAAGGTGCCGCCAAGAAATGCATCTAATTGATAGCTTAAGCATCGTTTAAGCGTTGCCATTGGACAAAAATCGCATGTGGCATCCCTTCTCTCGGAGCGGTCTGCACCTGTTTTCATGGCCCCCGGCCGTCCGCCTTCCCCGGCCAAGCGTTTGTCCCTGGCGGTTTTTCCGGGATGTCTCAGGTACACCCGCTACGTCAGGCGGGGGCCTTGAAGCTCAAGCCGATAAGGCGAATCCGCCAGATTGATCCACGTTTGGTGGGTGAAGTCCAGTGACCCCAAATTGTTTCCTGGTTGGAAGCTTTAAAGCCGGACTGGCGGGATGGTTTGAGTAAGAGGGAGCTCAGGGGCTACCAGAGGTGCTGGTTAGGTTTTTTTCGTGGCAACGAGCCACTCGCGCACTTGAGAGGAGTTGTTTTTCACGCACGGGCCAGATTTCCCACTCAATAAGTTGTCTAGTTTTGAGGATATTCTGTGTACTTTGGTTTAAAGAGACACCAAAAAGAAAGAAACACGTACCCATGTCTGATTTTCCCACACAAAAACCACATCAAAGTGTTTTTGCCGGGGGGAACCTTTCTAGGGTTGTTCTAAACGGAAAGAAGAGGGACGGCTACCAGTACCATTTTTGGGGGTCCTTTTTTTGGACGCATGAATTGGGATGGATACTCGGATACCTGCTTTCGTTGGAGACGTATTACGCACCCAACTGCCCTGGGATTTCACAACTTCAAAAACTAAAGCAGCGGCGCGCCCTGCCGCATGGACGTTTTGCAGTTCTTGGCCTGCATCACCTCTTCGAAAGCCCAGTTCGGGCAACGAAGATCCAAGTCCAATCCCATTTTTACCTGCCTGGTTATCGAGACAGATCCTCCTTTTATGGGCATTCGATTTGCGGGAATCTAAACCATGCCACCCAGACGCCCAGCCGGACTCTGAAGGTTGAATCGACCCCTCAAACATCCCAGCTGCAAGTTGCCGTTCTCGCGCCGCTGTTTCCGGTTTGGGGGGGGTTTGGAGTGCGACCAACATCCCATCCGCCGCGGATCCATCAACTCTCCGGGCTGCACAGATCCCAGGCGCCAGGGCTTGGCGGGCTCCGAGGAGCAGCTGGTGAAGGTGCTGCGGAGCCTGATCGGCGTGTCTCGGACTCGGGAAACGTTCCCCCCCCCTTTGCGGGGGGAGACCTCCCGCATTTTTCTGGCGGCTTTTTAGATACTGTGGATGGTCACCAAACCAGTTACCCGCCAGTTCTTGTTTGTTTTTGTGCTTTGGTTCAATACATGGGAAGTTGATCAATATGATATTCCATTTGGGGCCAGCAAATGACCATGGGTAACGTATCATCATTTTAGTGGAGTTCTTTTTTACAACAAAAATGTGGCTGTCCAAACAAGTTTGTCATTGTAGAATATACATATATACCTGGGGCCTGGAAAGACGAATTGTTCGTGGTGGTTCGCCACTTTTTTTGCCTAAAAAGATTGTCATCATCCAAATTGGGTCCTTGCCATTCATTTAATGGGGGTTGAACCCTAGGCTTTTGTATGGACGAAAACCATTTCGCACAACCTGAGAAGCCCTGGATTCTGATTCAATTCTTCCATAAATACAAATAACAAACGTTCTGGTTTCAACCATGCCTTCAACGTGGTGCGAAACAGATTTAGTCCATCCACAGTACGTATATAATATATTATATATGTAGGGTGGGCAAAGTATGAGACAGCCCTAAGGGTCCGTTTCGATGGTTGTTGGGCAAATCCTCGAAATGGGGGACTTTTCTTTCGGGCCCCAAATCGGAATTGGTCGCTTCGGGTTCTCCGTTGGAGGGCCCCTTGGGTCACCCTCAGGGTTCGCCCTTTTCAAGGCTCGGTCGCCAATTGGAAAGGATGGTAAGGCAAACCAGGCTCGAATGATATGCGGTTCCCGGTTCAACCAGCGTGTAAAGGCAAACCAAGAACATCAAGAGCACATTGTACCAGGAGAATGGCAACCCACACCTGTAAAAGAGCTTTCCCGTAGATTTTCATGCACCGTGTTCTCCTTTGGACCCACCTTTAAACTGGTTGAGCCTCAAAATGGCTTCGGTCCCAGGTCGGGGCGGTGCTTCTCTCAACATGGCTTCCTTTTTAAAGGTTGAGGGCACCTGTTCTCCTCGAACGGGAAAGCGAGAAATGTTTTTGTTTTCTTCTGGTTGAGGGCACCCTTTGCTTCGGGGAACGGGAGAGTGAAGTCCCCGCAGGTTTCAAGAGGAAAGCAACCTTTCGGGTCCCCAATCTTGAGAGCAATACCCTGGGGAGCCGTTGCACAATTGGTAGCCATTGGCAGGTAAGCCTCTAGTGTCAGGAAATCGTGGCTCGGTTTTTTTAGGCTACCTAGAGTCTCCATGACCCTTAAAAAATGGGGTCATTACCCCTTTTTCTAGGGGTCATGGAGACTCCAGGTACTTTTTTGTTTGGATTCGGAAAGCAAAGAGGGCCCTGCAAATCCTGATTTGGTCTGACCGCTTCCCATTAAATGATATGTCGACTTTAGCAGTCGGAACCTAACATGGATTTCGGATTTCGGTGTTGTTCCACAAAAAGAAAAACACTAAAACAGGTTGCCTGGATAGCCAGTTGCTGCTTTTTTCAGCAGAAACCCCAAAAAGCCAGCCACAGCGACTGAAAGCAGCGATCGCAACTTGGCGATCTTGGTGGGCACCAACTCAAAAGAAAAGGAAGAGCCACAAAGGGTCGGCAGCTGGCAGCTTCCCCTCGCTGGGTGGCAAACAAGTTGGTCTTCTCGAGCCTAAAAGCCGTATGTGCCAAAAAACGGCGGATCTCTCGACGGCGAGCGTAAGAAACCCCCAGCCATGCGAGGGGAATCTGGAAGTAGCCTAGAGGCTCTGATCGGCGAATCGGCTTTTCATAGACCCAGACCTCTTGAGACATCCAGACGGTGATTGCGGGTCGGAGAAATGACCTGGGCCCTAAAATTCATCGGGAGCGTTCGGGGAGAAATCTTTGCGACGTGGCGCCTACCTGGAGTCTCTTTCTGACTCCAATCGAGCAGCGTTGAAAGGGTTCGTGTTACAACAAGGGCCTTCGCGTAGGCATGCAAGTGGTGTATAGGCTTCGAACCACCAACAAATCACTCAGTTGAAAAAGGGGTCATGACCCATTTCTTAAGTTTGGGTCATGACCAACCAGTTTTCAAGGATAAGGAGACTCTAGGAATGGTCTGCAACGGCTCCCTTTCCTCCAAGTTTGATGTTTAAGCTTGGTACATGGAACAGGTAAGGGGCATTGCGGCAGGACCCCGGGACCCAATGCACACCCCACAAGGGGCGCTCCAATGGAGAACCCGCAACCGACCCCGCAAGCGCCCTCAAAAACAACCCATTTTGAGGGCCCAAACTGAATCGGGACACTTCAGGAGAGCCAGAAAGTATAATGTTTGGTGTACCCCGTATTGATAGACATATATTGATAAACACAACATGACACACCCTTTGTAAAGACGTCCGGAGCTTCGGTCCGAGCGGTTATCACACACATTCGTGCACGTCGAAAACACAAATCAAGATGGTTTCTAGCAAGAGCAGGGTTGTGGGATCAAGGGGTTTATTCCCACCTCTTTGATACATGGGGGGTGAGAAGCTATTTCTGTTGTATCACAGAAGTGCTCATTTCCCATAGCCCTGAGTAAGAGGTTCTACCCTAAGGGTCCGTTCGGTCTTAGTATGGCGCATCTAGGGTGCATAGCACAAATGCTTGTATTTTGAGAGGAGAAGTTGGTTCCGGGCCCAAAATCTATCTGGACCCCTAGGGTATTCCATAGAAACGTTGCTGAAAAGGGCGCTGGGGTACGTATGGTTGGAAAACATGGTTGTGATAGCCCACTCACCATAGTTGTAAGTTCCCTCGCCAACTGTAACAACTTGCTAAGTGCCCTTCTCCCTCAAGCAGGGCCTTTACGCACAGTGGACTCCAAACCCTGATTGCAAGCGAGACCACGTCCAACCTGTAAATGAGAGGTGTCCAAGCTGTTTTTTTTCGTGACCTCAGATTTGGGGCCCGCGAAAGCGTAGAACCAAACATCCAGTGGCTTTTGTGTTTCGGTCCACTCACTCGGTGTCAAATAGGGTCCCCCCCCCCCAAATAGATCCCAAGATGGTGGCTTTCCTTTATGTTTCCCTTTTAACTAACCAGCCTCGGGCTACCTGCAGGTTGGAATCCACCAGCCATATGTTTGGGTTGCCATCTCCCACGTTGTTTCATGTTTTTTTTTTTTTTTTTTTGGGGGGGGGGTGATCGATTTGTGTGTGTGTGTTTCTTTTTATTTTTTGGAGGGGGGGCCTGGCTCAGGCGCTGAACCGGAACAAGATGCAGCGCGCGCTGGACGCCGGGCGTCGTTCAAGTGGTTTCACAAGGTTTGGGTTCAGTTGCTGCCCTTCAGATGTGTGTGTGTGTGTTTTGTTAGTCATATTCCTGGGGCCTGGAACGACGAAATGTTTCTTTTTCGGATCAAAACCGGGTCTTCATAATTCGCCACCTCTAATTAAGGGGGTTCATAATTCGCAGAAGTTGTCATTTCTTGTTATTGTGTTTGTTTTGTTCCATGAATGCATGTGTATATATATATATATTCTGTTACATATACTCCAGGAAAACAAAATCCAGCTGGGTTTCTCCCGCATGTCTTGTGGTCTTTTAGCACCAGTTCTTGTAATTTTGTTTTTGGTTCAATACATGGGGTTGATCAGTATTCCGTTTGGGGCCACCAAATGACAATGGGTAACGTATCCTGGATCTTCCAAATCATGGAAATTTCACGTAAAATCCGGAGACTACCAGTTTTGTGAGGGTCTCAGTGAAAAAACACAGAGTTTTCAAACTCCTGGTTTTTGAGGTAAAACTCCTAGAAATTGATTGTCGCTTCTGGAAATGGTTTGCACACCTGAAACCCCTAGAAATCGCAATTATTCGGTTGACGGAAGGAACTCTCCAATTCAGACATATTCTGAATCAGAATCATTCACCTGAATCAGAATCGTTCGCCTGAAATTATTTATTCAGAATTCGGAATTGTTCTGAATTCGGAATTATTGCCTTTGGGCGACAAATTGGCAAAACCGGAAAGCACCACACCTGAAACTCAGCGCAAAACACCCGCAAAAAGCCAGCAAACTCCCGCAAAAACCCGCAAACTCCCGCAAATCAAACAAAGACGGAGTTTCCGGAGTGTCGCAGTAAAATCAGTGGAATACCCACTCCAGTGCAGAGTTGCATAATTGCTGGGATAGTGTACAGAGTTGCACAATTGCGCGCCCAAACAACGAAAAAATACAACAAAACTTGAATCCAATTGTTTCCCCCAAGAACCACTCCTAGTTTTTCATGTTCACTCCTGCCTTTTGCAAGCCACTCCTGCTTTTTGATTCCTGAATTTGAAACACCTGAAACTCCTAGTTTTCAGATAGCCTCCTGGAAATATCCCGGAGAACGGAAAAACAGAGAAATAACCCGGAGACGGAGGACCCAGGATCATCATTTTAGTGGATTTCTGGTGTACAACAAAAATGCGGCTGCCCAAACAGTTTTGCCATTTCTTGTGTGTTGTTCGTTTGTTTTCTTTTCTTACATGTACCTGGGGCCTGGAACGACGAATTGTTCCTGGTGGTTCACAAAGCATGCTTGGCATTTCTGGTTTCCCTGGAAGTCCTCGACCTTCTTTTTTATTGTCTATTCGGAACGGCCGTTTTTGGCCAGAAACAGCCGTTTGTGCAATATAGCATTTATTTTATAGCCCTCCTGCCAATAAAATGGCTCTTTGGCCTCAAGACAGTCGCTTTACCTATGATATTGAGGGTTTTGGGGCAGCGCTGCGAGTCAAGTGTTTAAACATATGCTTGCTTTGCAACATCGAGTTTATAGGGCAATTAGTGCAGTTTGCTTTGATGCGCATGTATGACAGAATCACAGCTGAATCCCAGCTGACCTTGGAACTCCAATATTTGCAAGGGTATCGCGTAGCTGGGCATGCCCAAGTTGCTTTCATTGCAAAATAGGTACCAACTGAACGATCGTACAGTAGTGTATTGAGTGTGCCCGAAGCAATTTGCAGCGGATAGTCAAAGAATTCGTTATTTGACGACTGCAGCAGCCATCCTTCTGAACATATTGCGACAATAATTCGTGATTGAACATACCTTGCTGGGCTCGAGTATG